AAAGACTTTCTACCCACTGGCCTGTGATCATCCTGCATTTGGCGTCATTGCATGTGTTTTATGAGTCTGAAGAGGACTTTATAGATGGGTATTGGACATATGAGCTAATATTAGACTTACGGGCTTGGACTGGACTGGGTTGGGCTGTTTTCTTAATGTACAATTACCCTTGATAGAAACTCTCTCTTAGACACATATGAGTTTCTCTGGGTTTGCGTCTCTAGTCTACTTGAACGCACACAGTTGGCCAACATTTGTGAGGGAAACCCTCAGGGAGATGGATTGATGCAGTGACCACACTCGTGGATTTGACCGTATCACACATCGTGAAGACGGCAGCCACTCAGCAACGTTTGGCTCTGTTGTCATCATGAGTCAGCGCCTACTCAATAACAGCTACCATCAACAACAGAGAAACGGAAAGCTTAATGCCCCAAAGGTACTGTTGGTAGTTTGATTGGGAATGCATTTATTTGTATTAGAGAATAATTTAGGAGAATAATTTGAAATCTTTACATATTGTGTATTCCTAATTGTCTTTTTTTTTAAAGTTCACCTGTCAAGTTTAAAACTCTTTTTGGTAGGCCCTGCACATTTTTTTCTTCATCTTTTTCAAAAAATGATATTTTGTTACAATTTTGTAAAAGTTACACAATAAATTAATTAGGTTTTCATTTAACAATTTCTCTATATATTGTTCAGTTGCATTGGTTACATTTTTCACAATGTGTCTCCTTTCCCATTATTGTCATTCTGTTTGTTCTGTTTTTACTAATCTAGCTTCCCTGCCCTCCTCTTACCTTCTCATCTTTGCTTCAGGGTAAGTGTCCACTATTAGATCTGGAATTGGTGATTATTTAGGGAAGCACAATAGTCATGAGTGATCTTGCTTATTTTATGAGCCAGTCCTGGCTAAAAGACAACCGCTGGCAGTATTTTCAATTCCAAGTTGGAAGACTATCTCAGGACGATAGTCTCCAGTGGCATAGTGCTTACGACTTGGACTGCTAATTGCAAGGCCAGCAGCTCAAAACCACCAGCAAGACCTTGGGAGAATGATGATGCTTTCTACTTCATCTTGTAAAATAAGCAGTTACAGTCCCAGAAACTCAGAGGCTCTATATAGGGCCACTGTGAGGCAGAGTCAATGGGATGACAGTGAATTTGTTTGTTTGTTTGTTTCTATAGCCTCTGGTGGTTCTAGTAGTCTATAACAGTCCAGTAAGTCTGCCCTTTTGTAGGGGTTTGAGCTTTGCTCTACATTTTTTCTCCTAGTCTATCCTAGACCGTCTGCTGTGTCCCTGATCAGAGAGGTTAGCAGTGGCAGCTGGGCACCCTCTAGTTCCTTTGACCGGAGGCTCTGTATGAGGCTATGGTTCATGTAGGCTGTCACTCCTGTAGACCAGTTTCTTCTTTGATTTCTTATTTCTTCTTTCCCTTTTGCTATGGACAAGAACAGACCAACTGTATCCTAGACGGTTGTCTGCACACTCCCAAGACCCTAGATGCTACTCACCAAAGCAGGATGCAGAATATTATCTTTATAACCTGTGGTTTGTTCATTTATCTAGTTGCCTTTTGAGACTATGACCTTGAGGAAGGCTGACCTCTTGAGCATTGCTCCTCAGACCGCTTTAATCCACCAGAGTATCCACATTGTCATTCATACCTATTTAATCCACCAAGAGTAGCCACATTGTCATTCATACCTATTTAATCCACCAAGAGTA